AGTGATTTTCTTTCCTCAGTTTGAACTGAATTGTTTCCAGAAACATCGAAAAATATATCATACAAGCTGTTGTAAACCGACGAAAGAAAACATCATAGACTATAAATGTTCAACTCCTAATCGGTAGCTAGCTAACTCGTACCCATTCCATCTCCACCCTCTCGTACCCATAGAAATGGCAGAACTTGCACCAGGCTTTTGGCGATTCCATGCCATTATTTTCAAGTCTGTTACAAGTATGAGGACAGCATTTGTACCCATGACTGGACTTGGAGAGAGCTAATTCAACTAGTTCGTTGATCCTCTTCAATAAATCATGAAAACACAAGCCATTTTTCCAGTGAAAAATAAAAAAACAACATGGTCATATCTATATCAGAATATCTGGAGCCAAGGTTGAATCTAAATTAAAAACACTCAAATCATGTTCCCGCGATAAATTTCATTGGTTGACGAAATTGATACGTATTTCCTAGAGTTCATTGAGGTATTGTGGAAATAATGGCATTTTTACACACTGATATAGTAAGGATTTTGCTAGTTAATATATATTGTGTGGTTGAATACACCAGTTTTGCTAAATGACATGATCTCAAACATTGCGAAGTGCTTAGATTCAAGATGTGACATGATAGCCGAAAAAAAGGAGGTAAACAACGAAGAATTTTATTTCACATTGATGTTGTCAAAATAATTGTTTTGTTAAGAATTTGTAAGACAAATTCAGATTTGGTCAAAGACCCCTGACAATGGGTCAACGGTCCCTATAGTCTTGTACCAATCTGTTGTTTTGGGCAACACATTAGAGATTTGCACAGCATATGGCCTTGAATACTGACACGTCTGTACATACCAAAAGTCAATTGTCCACTAAAAACCCACACAGATATACGTATAACGTCACATAGGTAAACAGGACATGCGTACACAACATATATACATGCACAAATAGTTAAGCAGAAGACGGGGGAAAAAACTACGTGATACACCAATAATGGCGGCACAGAATTAGTAAAAATTGACCCTATTACTTATATATATTTGTAATGAAGAAATGTGTAATTTACTGACCAAAGGTGTATGTTTTATCAATACTGTTATCTACTAATTTTAATATTTTTTTGAAATGCTGCTATATAATCTAGAGTAAAAAAAAGACTTGAGTGCCCTTTTTGTACCAAAAATGAAAAAACATATATGTTTTATTTTTTAGATGCTACAATATCATTTCTTCATTTGTAGAACACTAAACATGGACATGCTGATAGTAAGATGTTAGATATTATATATACAAAGCAAGGAATCATATTGAATACATTGGGAACTAGAGATAAAAGTGGGACGGATTGTGAGAAAGAACATGCTCTTTGTACATTTTGTGAATATTCTGAAGGTCAAAAATACAACTTTCTATTGGAGTTCATTTGTAATTATCTGCTAAAACATCTTCAAACAGTATAAGAAAAATTACCCAAGAGTAATTTGGAATTTTGTTCAAAGTAATTAGAACTGATTGACAATATTGTTATGTATTTTTAGGTAAAAATGAGCAGTGGGGGAAATCTTTTTTGGATTAAGGTGTTATTAAGTGAAATGAAATAATATGCTTTGTTTTATTAGTACAAAGGGGCTGTCAATCACACTAATAACCCACTAAAGTGAATTTTCTACTTTTAAAATGGCCGTCATGTTCCCTGTTAACTAAAATGAGAAATGTTCTGACAACTGCTGAATGAATATTCAAACATGAATGCTAAATAAGATTTAATTCTGTTTACAAATTCAGACTTAAGTAATACCACGTTTGAATTTTCCAGGTAGTGATAAGCCAGTTTATTTTGCCAATACTTGACTTAATTTGTAATGTCTAACAAAAATATGGGACTTGAGAAGTGTTTGATAAGAATGAAATTATTTATGGTTATATTCTTTAAAACAGTTTTTCTTTTATTGTTTGCTGATAGTAAGATATTGATAGGAGACATTAACACTCATGCCTGTGTACTAGGCCTTTGAAGGGAGCTGCGATTTTGCAGATTCGTCTGAGCAAATCATTATGATTATTATGAAAATCTTTTTCAACTCTTAAAACAAACCTGTATATCACTTGAACGTTAAATAAATATGACTATTGTGGATGCTTGGTATTACTGAAATGTCAAGAAATTGGAGGCAAAAAATTGAAAATTTGCTGGAATAAATGAAACAACCCCTCATTGAGGACGATAGTGTCTTACAGACTATCTCTTAAGGCAATGATAGTAAGGCTACTCTGGACTTTAACAAACGAACATTAATGTTCGTTTAAAATGTTTCCTGAGAAATCTTATTTATTTTTTACCTTACATAACATATCCTTAAATGGATACAATACATCCAGCTGTTAATGATCATGATATATTTCAATTAGAATTGAAATCGGAAATTACCTTTTCCACAATATCTGAACAAAATTATATAACGTATAGATCTAAAACAAGCTGTACCACATTGTTGGTATTATTTAAGATCAAAGTAAATTTTCTATACGACGTCCAACCATAACTGTAAATGCTGAAAAAAAACTGAATACATCAACTAAATAAAACTAAAATGCTGTTACTCAAGAACTGTTTAAACTAGTGACCTCAGTTTTGATCATATTTTGTAAATTTAAAAGAAAAATACTGGAATCATAGATCAACTTCCGGTAGGGACAAAGTTCAAAAGTGTTATTTTCAGCTACAAAATTTGACAAACTTCTTCTCAAGTTTTGCAAAGCCTTGACTCTTGATATTTCATTAGTAAGATGTCTGTTTAATTATCCATCAAGTTTGTTAATATAAATGACCTTGACCCACTTTCAAGGTCACAGGGGTCAATTATGTAAAAATCGTTAAATGGTAATTTCTCCATTGTAAAGCTGCTCAAAATCTTCAACTTCGGACATAAATATTCTGTGGACATTTCCTGTCGATTGATATAAGAAAAACGTACCTCAAAATTCAAGTTCTGAAAGGCCTAGAGGCTCTATATTTCACATATATGAAGCAAATGTAACTGGCAACAAAGTTTGATAATATAAAGGACCTTGACTTACTTTCAAGGTCACAGGGGTCAAATATATTTGAACCTTAAAAATTCTTTAATTTATTTTGATGTAGTTGTACTTCCTTAACGTTTTAAAATAGAAAGTTTGTCTTTGGACATGTTATAGATATTAACAAACAAAGAAACTTTCTCATATATTATTATCAGGAAAAATGTCAACTTCCGGTTTCCAAAAGGGGCCAAAGTTCAGATATACAAAATAGGGTACCAGTGTTCAGCAATCTTCTTGTAGAGTTGCTCAAGGTCTAGAGAACTAATGTTGGGGATATATTGAGCATCAGGTGTTACGTTATAAGGATTGCAAATATGAATAACCTTGACCGACATTTAAGATCACAGGGGTCAAATATGTTTGAACCTTTAAAAATGTATTTCTTTGTTATTATGTAGTTATATCTCCTTAACATTTCAAGATACGAAGTTCATCTTTGGATATGTTGTAGAGATTAGCAAACAAAGAAAATTGTGTTATGAGGAAAAATGTCAACTTCCGGTTTCCGGAGGGGGTCAAAGTTGAATTCATTGTTGAAAAGTACAATATAGGGTACTAGTGTTAAACAGTCTTCTTCTCAAGTTCCACAAGGTGTAAAGCACTAGTAGTTCGTATATACTGATCTATAGGTGTTGTTTTATAACATTTGCAATTATGAATAACCTTGACTAACATTCAAGGTCACAGGTGTCAAATGTATATGAAATCTTCAAACATCTTTGATCAAACAAAAAGCAAGGATGAACTGATATTAAGCATGCTGGGAAGAAGGACTACCATTTTTGTCCTGACTAAGAGTTGTTATTTTCTAAGTTGGTCGGAAATCCAAGATGGCTGCCATGACTGCCATTTTGAAAATGAATGTTTTTGAACTGATCAGGTCAGTTTGTGGAATTCTGTTTAGGTTTGCGTAAATGAAGCTGAGATTAACTTAAACTAGTGCTGTATTTTGGGAGTCTGCCTGATATCCAAGATTGTCGCCAAAGAAATGAAAAGCCCGCAAAATTGTTAGAAACAATTTCTAGTTATTTATTTGATTTGTCCTTTAGTCCTTCTTCATAGAAATTGATGCAGTTTTTGTATATCGCATTGTCGGCAGTTTACAATGTAGAAAGAAACATATGAAATTTTTAACAGTAAATAAACAATACAGAAAAGCTGAAGCAGACATACTGACATACTGATTACTGCAAATTTTGCTCTAAAAGGTGAAAAAGTTTGGGGAAAATTTCCTTTTTACCGTCCTCCTGGAAATGTTACTTGGCCTTTTTTCGGGAGAACATACAGAGACAATACGTTAACGCAATGAATTAGTTTATACCATTGTAAGATTATGATCTATGACGTCATTGCGGTCATACAGTACTTTTCAGACAAACTTGAAAATTTTACAATGACACTTTCAATCAATGTCCTATCTTCATTTTTCAGACTTTGATCACCTCTTTTGCCAGTCAAAAGACCATTGAGTCAAAAACGCCAGAACGATAAGAATTGGAAATAAAGCAATAAGAACAGGCTTCATCAAATGGAAATAGAATATTTGCCAGTTAGATCATCATGTCGACCATAAAACTTCCCTCAAATCTTCATCAATCTGCTCTCTTGAAACCCTGCCATTCTCTTTGAGATATTGGGAATAGGCCTTTGAATATCGAATCAACGGCAACAAGTAGATGCCTTAGGTTGGAGATATTATATATACATATATATTAAATAATCTGTGATACACGTGGGAGGTACATGTAACGTAAAGAAAATAAACCAATAATTAAATTTGATTGATTAATCATGTCACCAACATTCCCTGTCCTATAGATATACCAAACTTCATTATCATATAGAAATAATAGAACTGATATTACAGATATTACGAAGATTGAATTGTATTATCAACTGCGTTCTGCTTATATTTAAGGTGTGACATCAGCCAGTCCAGTATACACCAGACAGGGAGGAAATGTAACATTACAATGTCCCGATACAGGTGGTAGTACATCGTGGTCTGTCACTTCTATTGGATTTATTTACGCTAGCGGAACAGAAATCAACCCGGACACAGCAGACTCAATAAAGACGAGACTTGCTGTTACCAACAAGAGTGGAATCTACAGCCTACAGATCAGTAATGTACAACTGTCAGATGTCAGGGAATACAAATGTAGCATTGGATTATCAGACACATTCTATCATCTACTACTGTACAGTAAGTTATATCAGATTGGTAATACAGACACATTGTATCATCTACTACTGTACAGTAAGTTATATCAGATTGGTAATACAGACACATTGTATCATCTACTACTGTACAGTACATTGTGTCAGATTGGTAATACAGACACATTCTATCATCAACTACTGTACAGTAAGTTAGGTCAGATTGGTAATACAGACACATTCTATCATCTACTACTGTACAGTAAGTTAGGTCAGATTGGTAATACAGACACATTCTATCATCTACTACTGTACAGTAAGTTATATCAGATTGGTAATACAGACACATTCTATCATCTACTACTGTACAGTAAGTTATATCAGATTGGTAATACAGACACATTCTATCATCTACTACTGTACAGTAAGTTATGTCAGATTGGTAATACAGACACATTCTATCATCTACTACTGTACAGTAAGTTATATCAGATTGGTAATACAGACACATTCTGTCATCTACTACTGTACAGTAATTGGTAATACAGACACATTCTACCATCTACTACTGTACAGTAAGTTATATCAGATTGGTAATACAGACACATTCTACCATCTACTACTGTACAGTAAGTTATGTCAGATTGGTAATACAGACACATTGTATTATCTTCTACTGTACAGTAAGTTATATCAGATTGGTACTACAGACACATTCTACCATCTACTACTGTACAGTAAGTTATATCAGATTGGTAATACAGACACATTCTATCATCTACTACTGTACAGTAAGTTATGTCAGATTGGTAATACAGACACATTGTATTATCTTCTACTGTACAGTAAGTTATATCAGATTGGTAATACAGACACATTCTACCATCTACTACTGTACAGTAAGTTATATCAGATTGGTAATACAGACACATTCTACCATCTACTACTGTACAGTAAGTTATATCAGATTGGTAATACAGACACATTCTACCATCTACTACTGTACAGTAAGTTATATCAGATTGGTAATACAGACACATTCTACCATCTACTACTGTACAGTAAGTTATATCAGATTGGTAATACAGACACATTGTATTATCTTCTACTGTACAGTAAGTTATATCAGATTGGTAATACAGACACATTGTATTATCTACTACTGTACAGTAAGTTATATCAGATTGGTAATACAGACACATTCTACTATCTACTACTGTACAGTAAGTTATATCAGATTGGTAATACAGACACATTCTACTATCTACTACTGTACAGTAAGTTATGTCAGATTGGTAATACAGACACATTGTATCATCTACTACTGTACAGTAAGTTATATCAGATTGGTAATACAGACACATTCTACTATCTACTACTGTACAGTAAGTTATATCAGATTGGTAATACAGACACATTCTACTATCTACTACTGTACAGTAAGTTATATCAGATTGGTAATACAGACACATTCTACTATCTACTACTGTACAGTAAGTTATATCAGATTGGTAATACAGACACATTCTACTATCTACTACTGTACAGTAAGTTATATCAGATTGGTAATACAGACACATTCTACTATCTACTACTGTACAGTAAGTTATATCAGATTGGTAATACAGACACATTCTACTATCTACTACTGTACAGTAAGTTATATCAGATTGGTAATACAGACACATTCTACTATCTACTACTGTACAGTAAGTTATGTCAGATTGGTAATACAGACACATTGTATCATCTACTACTCTACAGTAAGTTATGTCAGATTGGTAATACAGACACATTCTACTATCTACTACTGTACAGTAAGTTATATCAGATTGGTAATACAGACACATTCTACTATCTACTACTGTACAGTAAGTTATATCAGATTGGTAATACAGACACATTCTACTATCTACTACTGTACAGTAAGTTATATCAGATTGGTAATACAGACACATTCTACTATCTACTACTGTACAGTAAGTTATATCAGATTGGTAATACAGACACATTCTACTATCTACTACTGTACAGTAAGTTATATCAGATTGGTAATACAGACACATTCTACTATCTACTACTGTACAGTAAGTTATATCAGATTGGTAATACAGACACATTCTACTATCTACTACTGTACAGTAAGTTATATCAGATTGGTAATACAGACACATTCTACTATCTACTACTGTACAGTAAGTTATATCAGATTGGTAATACAGACACATTCTACTATCTACTACTGTACAGTAAGTTATATCAGATTGGTAATACAGACACATTCTACTATCTACTACTGTACAGTAAGTTATATCAGATTGGTAATACAGACACATTCTACTATCTACTACTGTACAGTAAGTTATATCAGATTGGTAATACAGACACATTCTACTATCTACTACTGTACAGTAAGTTATATCAGATTGGTAATACAGACACATTCTACTATCTTCTACTGTACAGTAAGTTATATCAGATTGGTAATACAGACACATTGTATTATCTTCTACTGTACAGTAAGTTATATCAGATTGGTAATACAGACACATTCTACTATCTACTACTGTACAGTAAGTTATATCAGATTGGTAATACAGACACATTGTATTATCTTCTACTGTACAGTAAGTTATATCAGATTGGTAATACAGACACATTCTACTATCTACTACTGTACAGTAAGTTATGTCAGATTGGTAATACAGACACATTCTACTATCTACTACTGTACAGTAAGTTATGTCAGATTGGTAATACAGACACATTGTATTATCTTCTACTGTACAGTAAGTTATGTCAGATTGGTAATACAGACACATTCTATCATCTACTACTGTACAGTAAGTTATATCAGATTGGTAATACAGACACATTCTACTATCTTCTACTGTACAGTAAGTTATATCAGATTGGTAATACAGACACATTCTACTATCTACTACTGTACAGTAAGTTATATCAGATTGGTAATACAGACACATTCTACTATCTACTACTGTACAGTAAGTTATGTCAGATTGGTAACACAGACACATTGTATCATCTACTACTGTACAATAAGTTATGTCAGATTGGTAACACAGACACATTGTATCATCTACTACTGTACAGTAAGTTATATCAGATTGGTAATACAGACACATTCTACTATCTACTACTGTACAGTAAGTTATATCAGATTGGTAATACAGACACATTCTACTATCTACTACTGTACAGTAAGTTATATCAGATTGGTAATACAGACACATTCTACTATCTACTACTGTACAGTAAGTTATATCAGATTGGTAATACAGACACATTCTACTATCTACTACTGTACAGTAAGTTATATCAGATTGGTAATACAGACACATTCTACTATCTACTACTGTACAGTAAGTTATATCAGATTGGTAATACAGACACATTCTACTATCTACTACTGTACAGTAAGTTATATCAGATTGGTAATACAGACACATTCTACTATCTACTACTGTACAGTAAGTTATATCAGATTGGTAATACAGACACATTCTACTATCTACTACTGTACAGTAAGTTATATCAGATTGGTAATACAGACACATTCTACTATCTACTACTGTACAGTAAGTTATATCAGATTGGTAATACAGACACATTCTACTATCTACTACTGTACAGTAAGTTATATCAGATTGGTAATACAGACACATTCTACTATCTACTACTGTACAGTAAGTTATATCAGATTGGTAATACAGACACATTCTACTATCTACTACTGTACAGTAAGTTATATCAGATTGGTAATACAGACACATTCTACTATCTACTACTGTACAGTAAGTTATATCAGATTGGTAATACAGACACATTCTACTATCTACTACTGTACAGTAAGTTATATCAGATTGGTAATACAGACACATTCTACTATCTTCTACTGTACAGTAAGTTATATCAGATTGGTAATACAGACACATTGTATTATCTTCTACTGTACAGTAAGTTATATCAGATTGGTAATACAGACACATTCTACTATCTACTACTGTACAGTAAGTTATATCAGATTGGTAATACAGACACATTGTATTATCTTCTACTGTACAGTAAGTTATATCAGATTGGTAATACAGACACATTCTACTATCTACTACTGTACAGTAAGTTATATCAGATTGGTAATACAGACACATTCTACTATCTACTACTGTACAGTAAGTTATGTCAGATTGGTAATACAGACACATTGTATTATCTTCTACTGTACAGTAAGTTATGTCAGATTGGTAATACAGACACATTGTATTATCTTCTACTGTACAGTAAGTTATATCAGATTGGTAATACAGACACATTCTACTATCTACTACTGTACAGTAAGTTATATCAGATTGGTAATACAGACACATTGTATTATCTTCTACTGTACAGTAAGTTATATCAGATTGGTAATACAGACACATTGTATTATCTACTACTGTACAGTCATGACAACTTTATTGATTCATGTAACAATTTATCGTTAAGTTTTAGTGGTATTTTTATCCTCATTAGAATTTCCTGATCATTATAGATATTTACCCTCTGACTAAATGAATCCTGAGTCACCAATTTCCATAGTTGACCTTGTATATGTTTGACTTATTGTCTTGGCTTATATTTTCACTTTGTGCAGTTCCTCCAGATTTTCCAAAGATAGAAAACACAGTCAGTGTTGAGGGCCAGAACAGAACAGTAGGAATGGAGGATGGAAGTATGACCTTGACATGTAATGCATTTGGTGGTACTCCAGCGTCTAATGTGTCGTGGATTAAAGATGGCGTCATCCTAGTGACATCAGCCAATGCAGTACAGTACAGAAAGGTTTTCACTCGATCTGATGACAGAAATGTCTACATATGTCAGTCTAGAAGTCCAGCCCTGACCAGTCCTCAGACTACAAGTGTGTTGATATACCTAGATTGTGAGTATAGAGTGTGTACACGTGTCAGTCTAGTAGTCCAGTAGTCCAGCCCTGACCAGTCCTCAGACCACCAGTGTGTTGATATACCTAGATTGTGAGTATATATTGTGTCCGTATGTCAGTCTAGTAGTCCAGCCCTCACCAGTCCTCAGACCACCAGTGTGTTGATATACCTAGATTGTGAGTATAGAGTGTGTACACATGTCAGTCTAGTTGCCCAGCCCTGACCAGCCCTCAGACCATACTGATCATACTAAGAAAAAAGCGTAGTGTATCAAATTCATGGCCTGCAACCCGTTAATTACAAAATTATTGCCCTTTGTTAAAATTTTGGGGAACTTTCACTTTTTTATGATGGTATTTATATAATTTGCTTATAATCTGCAATTGCAATATCAATATGAATCTTTTGACAAACATTCATTTATATTTATTTATTTGATTAGGTACCAGACATAACCTGAATACTTTTTTTTTCAAATGGTGATACTTACATGTACATCATTTGCATATGATCAATTCATTGCAATATTCAATTGAATCTTTTTGCTGACAAACATACTTTTGTACAGCAAAAAACAATTCCCATATTTAAAGCATTTTAATGTAATTAGCAATCATGTAAATATTTTATTGAATATTCTTTGAAATCAAATTATTCATCCGCTTCCTTACATAATTGTATAT